AAACCAACACGAGTCCCCGCTAAAACCAACATCTCTGTTTCAGCAGCTCCCGCGCCGCCGGGGAAGCAGCCAAAGCGAAACCCCGCGGGCAGAGCTCCGCACACCAGCGGCTGCCCCGGGAGCTGCTCCCCCGCCCCGCAGCGGACGGACCCCCGCGGGCCCCGTGTCCCGCAGGGAGGGGAGAGCCCTCCGCAGGGTCTCCCCAGGCCCCCCCGCTGCTTGGCCGCATACCTGGGCAGGTGCGGGTGGCGGACGGCCCTCTGCCCCGGCTCCGCGGGGTCCCGTCCCCCACCCGCAGCCCGGAGCCGAATTCCATTTCAAAGCAGATATCCGCCCCCATCCCACACCCCGTCGGGGGAGACAACCAACGACAACAGCAAAACAAAACATTAAGCAAACAAAAAGCCCCAACCCCCGGCTCTCCGCAGAGCCACACATTGAACGAATCTGGCTGTAAGGTTTTAATTACAGCGAAGCCTTCGCTACAAATCTGTACAAGAGACAGTGGCTGGTTCCCTCTGGATCTTTCCCCTTCTGCCTCCCATTATTTTGACCCACGCTCCGACATAGAAAGCGGCGTGTGGGATCCAGCTGCGAGGCCGGGCTTGGGGTTTACCCCTCCGCCCCCGCCACTTCCTTCACACTAGCCGTATGGAAAGCCATCGACGCCTGCCTGTCTGTTCCGATGGTAGCGGCTTGAAATCCAGAGCCTCTCCTTAAAATAGGTCGGGAGCATTCGCTCGCCGCAGGGCAAACGCTTCTGCGCGACCGCTTGGCGTGGCCCGAGGAGCGCTCCGAGAGCCGCGGCACGCGTGCGTGCGATTTTCAGTGTTCACGAGTGTGCCATTTTCACGAGCGTGCGATTTTCGGGGGCGTGGAAGCCGTTCTGCAGCCGGGGAGAAATCCCGTGCCTCTGCGGTGGGAGCCGCTCCACAAGAATGTGTCTGGAGCAGCTCGCTGCCAGCAGGAATATTCCTCTGCTTCCCACCTCTCCCCACCCGGCGCTTTTCGGAGACCCCAGCGCTCTGCCCTTTCCTTTGTTCATTCGATTCTGCTGTTAAAAAAGCGTAGGGTCAGGCACTGATCCTCGTCCTCTCACCAAACTTGAGCGTTTCTCTGTCCCTTTGAAAAACAGCATTGCGAGACTGGATTGCTTGTGGGTTCTCTAGGGGAAAAAAAACGCGCGCACGGATGTCATTCCTGAAAGACGCTTCTTCCCTACTCGGGACGGGACAGAAAACACTCTCCGTGGCCCTCATGTGAACTGGGGTGGGAGGATACGCACAGCGCATCCCTCAGCCCTTCAGCTACTCCTCACCAAACGAGCGCACTCCAGGGGAGCGCCATCAGCTGCCGCCCCCAGCAAACCACGCGCGGAACAACCCGGCACGGGATCCTGCCGCTCGCAGAGCCCACCCGCACAAAGCCTGAGAGGGGATGAGAAAGAAAAGGCGAATGTTTGTTTTCCCCTGTTGTTATTGTTGAACGCATGAATGAATGAATGAATGAATGAATGAATGGAACAGAAGGTGCTCCGAGGCATATAGGAAACCTCTGGCCGTTTATATTAACTTCCTTTTATGCCCTAAAAATAGAACCCCGTTTCCTGTTGTTCGTCAGCTCCTTCTAAGCGTTGTGTCTTCTGTGACATCTTTCAATTCGCAAACGCAACTTTAAACCACGCTTTGGTCTTTTGAAAGCCTTGTTCACAAACATCATTAATGCGACGCGGCTTAACGTGACACAGGGCAGCGGCGGCACGAAGTCACCCCGTCCCTCTCACGGGCTGCCCGGTGCGCTCTGCCCGCTCTTCGCCCGTGACCGTGGGGACACGGAGGGCACCGAGGCCGCGCTGCTCCCCGGCTAGCAGCCGGTTCGGGGTGCGGAGGCCTCCGTGCCCCTGGGCGAGCGTGGGGGCTTGCGGGGAGCCCGATAGAGGGAAAGCAGACCGAGGCTCACCCCGGCTCACCCCTCTGCCTTCAAGTCCCGAGGTTTTATTTCTTCAACTCGTGGCTGGAGCGGGTTGGATCCCCGGTATCTCCAACATACTGGGGGCCGTATGAGAAGAAACACCCCCACATCTGCCGTCTCCCACACGACACCAAAGTGTGGTCCCTTCGAGCCAGAGGACACGAAGAAAGCAGAGGTTTGAGGGGGGAGAAAAAGAAAACAATAAATATTGACAAGCAGCGTGACTCTTTGCAGCCGTGTCATTAACATCGGCCAATCAACGGCAGCTCCATACTGAGTATTTGCCTAATTAAATTGGGGGAAATGATCGGTGTGAGGCTGGATGGAGTCAGCTGTCCCGACGGCTCTGGAGGGTGGCTGAACGCTGCGGGGGGAGCAGCGCGGGGTGCCGGGGTGTCCCCGAGAGTTCCCGCTCCGCTGGCGCCCACCGACGGTTCCAGGGGCACCTGAGCCGGACCCGGGTCCGGCCGGTCGCACTGCCGCCCTCCGAGGGGAGCAGCTCCGCGGGGCTCCCTCCCCTTCCCCCTGTCCTTTCTGCTCCGGGGTGTCTGATTCAGACTCCTCGACCCTTTCTGCGAGGAGGCACCTCGATACTAAAGCAAAGCGTTCTGCATGCCCAGCCCGTCCCGATTCCCGGCTAGCATCCATTGTGCAGAGGGAATTATTTCGAAATAAGGAAGCGCCGTGTCGCAATCACTCCCCGGACCATTTTCTGACACCTTTTGTTACGCGTGCTCGGGCTGCTAGAGAAAATGCCAACGTGTGCACCTGCGGGAAAGTGCCTTGATGATGTTAGCAGCGGGCTGAAGGGGATACAGCAGTAGTACTGCAGAATGGACCTGTGCCATGGAGCATGTCACCACAGCCACGCACACAGAGTCCCAGAAGGAACTCTCTCTCTCTCCTTTCTCTCCCCATTCTCTATATTTTTGTTCGCCGTGGGGGTATACGCGCCGGCTCAGGTTTCCCTTTCGCGTGTTCAAGTGGAACTCGTGTTAAAGCCGGGGAACAAGGCAGGACACTTCAGCCTCATTCAGAGTCACTGAACCGACTCCGAAAGCTCGAGAAGTGAAACACCGACGGGAGCTGTGGGGGGGGGGCTGGGGGGAAATACGACCCCCCCCCAAAAGCCCCCCCCCCCCCCCAAGCCCCCTCGCAGCGCCCGAAGACGAACACCGGGCCCGGAGCTCCCGTGCCCGACTCCCGCAACCCCGCGGCCCCCGGCACCAGCGGCTGCACCCCCAGCAGCCGGGGCTGAGGACTGGGGGAGGCAAACAGCAAAAAGAAATGAAGAATAGGAAATCAGAAAAAAAAAATCAATCCGAAATAACACTAACAATAATAATAACCTTCTGAATATTTCCGAGAGCGACGTGTTAAAAAAAAAAAAAAATAAAGGAAACAAACAAAAAAATCTATGAACGCGTCCTCTGGGACAGCCGCTGTGCCAGGCGGTGTCGGGACCTGCGCTGCTCCGGGGCTCTCCGGGCTGCGAGGGCTTCGCAAGCGGCCGCCGCCGGTGCCGGTGTTGGTTTTCAAAACCCGCAGCCTCCATCCAAGCAGCCCCTTCCCGCTGCGGAAACTTTCGGTTCTCGCTACGCCGTGTCCTTCCTACCTCAGTCCTCCGCGCTGGGGTCGGCTCTGGAGCTGTGCTGCCCGAGAGGAGAGTTCAGCGAGGGAAAGGGGAAAAGAGAGGGAGAGGGGAGAGAGGGGAGAGAGATCCTCCGCGGTGCCGGATCAAAGTTAATGTCTTTCCCCGGTCCATCTTTGAGAGAGAAGTGGTAGTACCACCTGGATGCTCGGATATAAATCCCCTTGCAAATAATAAATGGATTAATAATAACAAGGTATGAAGTTCTTTTTATAGAAAAAAAGGAGAGAATTGAAACTAAATGCGGCAGTTAGACAACCATTTTGATAAGAGGATAATTGAGGCGACACTGGTGTATAATTAGAGGATAATTTATGCTATATCCACTTTTATTCCACCTCCCAAAATAAACCCAGTCCATAATCATTACAGGCAAATTGTTCTGAATTTTATAGCAGCAATTTGAACAAAGTACTGCAGTTAATCATGGGAGATTTTTGTGTATTCCTGATTAGAAGTCTAATTGCCTCCTTCCAGAAAGTAAAAATAACTGTAAAACGACTCTATTTTTATCATTAACAATGTTGACAATAAAATAAAATCAACCGGAATTGTAATCTAAAGACAAATTTAGGGCGAAGGCGCTTTTCCTTGGGTCGTTTATATCCTAATCAAGCTTTGCCAAAACCGCTAACCGCACGTAGCCATTTGCATATATTTGAAAGCGATTACGGGAGCCGGCTGCTCGCAGGCGGAAAAAGAAATAATAATAATAATGCGGGGAAAAAAGAAGGCGCGGGGAGCGCGCGCGCGGCCGGCGGCGGCGCGCAAGAGAGAAAATAGCGCGCAAATCGTGATTGAAGGGCGAGAGAAGGGGGAAGGGGGGGTTGAGGGCGCGCATCCCCTCGCCCCGCACCTCATCCCGCCCCGCGCAACGCGCGCTCCTCGTTCTGCGCGGGGCGGGGGGAGGCGGGGAGTTGCGCGCCCCCGCGGGCTGCGCGCGCGGTGGCGCGCCGGGGCGGTGACGTCAGGAGGCTGAGTGACCAATGGGGAAGCGCTGCCCTCCGGAGCCGAACCATTCGACTTGTGGCGTTCCTGCCCTTCACGCCGAAGGCGCGCCGGAGCCCAACTTTGGCAGAAGCCACCTTAAAACCTCCGCCCGGGACTCCGCCAGCCCCCAAAAACACCCGGCGGGGGGATGAGGAGCGGGGACAAAACGCGCCGGGAGTAGCCCTGCCCCCCCTTACCCCCCCCCCCCCCTCCGCACACAGCCCTCCCCTTCTCCTCCCCTCCCTCGGTTAACAAGGCCCCTCTCGCACTACGGGAGCCTTAAAAAAATAAACCCGCCGCCTCCAGCGGTGCCGCGGCGGTGGCCGGGCAGGGCGGCCGGGCGCGGGGGGCGAGCCGGAGAGCCTCGCTCTCTGCCTCCCCGCCGTCGATGATGACCATGACCACGATGGCTGACGGGTTGGACGCGCAGGACTCCTCCAAATCCGCCTTCATGGAGTTCGGGCAGCAGCAGCCGCCGCCGCAGCCGCCGCCGCCGCCCCACTCGCAGCAGAGCTCGCCGGCCATGGCCGGAGCGCACTACCCGCTGCACTGCCTGCACTCCGCCGCCGGCTCGCACCCGCACCACCAGCACCACCACCACAGCTCGCCCTACTCCGGCACCGGCGGCTCCTACAACCACCGCTCGCTCGCCGCCTACCCCTACGTGAGCCACTCGCAGCACAGCCCCTACCTGCAGTCCTACCACACCAGCGGCGCGCCCAGCCAGACGCGGCCGGACGACGCAGGTGAGCGGGGCCCGGAGCTCCGGCCTCCCCCCTCGCCTCTCCCCTTCGCTGTGCCCCCCCCCCTTTCCTCCCCCCGGGGCCGGCATCCCCCATCGCGCTGCGGGGCCGTCTCGTCGATATCCGCGCAACGCTGTTTTTCGCAGGGAGCCGATGTTTGCGTGCAGCGTGCGGAGGGGCGAGGGGGGGGGGGAAGAAAGCATTGTTGCAGGTCTCGGGCTGCTGCCTCCCGAGCGCCGGGCGATGAGCTGTGTGCGGCCGCGAGGCCCTGGCTTCCAAACCTTCCGCTTTCGTTTTTTGTTTTACTCGTTATTTTTATTGTTAATTATTTTCCCCCGGGGGGGGCCGCACGGTGTTATGTGGCGTCCGCGGCCCGGGGGGACGGCTGGGGGGCAATCTGCGGCGGAGCTCCCAGCTGCGGCTTTTCGCTTTGCAGATCAGCAGAAAACGACTGTGATCGAAAACGGCGAGATCAGATTCAACGGGAAAGGGAAAAAGATCCGGAAGCCCCGAACCATATACTCCAGCCTTCAGCTGCAGGCGTTAAACCACCGCTTCCAGCAGACTCAGTACCTGGCGCTCCCGGAGCGAGCCGAGCTGGCGGCCTCCCTCGGCCTGACCCAGACGCAGGTAATTGCGGCGGCTCCGCACCGCCCGCTGCCCCGGGCCCGGCCCCGCACCGCCGCGCTCGGATCTGTGCGCGCCGCGCAGCGCTCCGCCGCTGGAGGAGCCGAGCGGGGCCTTTCCCTCGGCCCTTCCGCCGCCACAATAAAGTGCTGGAGTTGCCTCTCTGTTCGGATGGGAGCGATCGCGGCACCAGCGCTGCCCGGCTGCAGGAGAAGAACAAAGCGGAGGCGCTGGGCCCGGTGCGGGGCTGAGAGCGGGGCCACGCAGCGACCTATAGGCAGAGGGGAAGCGGGAACTCGTTAGGAGATACCTGTGAGCTCGATGGTTAATTGCGCCTGGATGGAGAACGCCAACGCAGTGCTCGCCGCCGGGCAAAATGTGCGGAGGTGATCAGAGATGGCGGGGACCGGAGCGGCCGTGTGCGGAGCAGTGGCGCTGGGCCGGGCCGAACGCGGGGCACAGCCGGGCCGGGCCCATCTCGGCCTCGGGGAGAGGGGCTGGAGGGCCCAGAGCAGGGGCTCAGCGAGAAAGCCGGGCGGATGGGTTTGGGCCGGGGGAGCTGTAGCGAGTAGAGTCCGTGCTTTGCCGTGACCAGTAATAGCAGCTGCTTCCAGACAGAGGGTTTAAAATACGCCTCAAACGTGAAGCACGGAGACAGAGCCGGTGGCTGCAGCGATGGGTGCGGTGCACGCTGCTTCCCTCGCGCAGGTGTAAGGGCACGAGCTGACGGTGCAGATAAATGTAGTCCTAACGGTGTATCTGCCGAGTCCGTGAGGTCAGATTCACACAGGAAGCCACCTTTGTTCGATTTTGAGGCATATAGTTTCATATATACTTTAGCCTTCCCTTTTAGTAATTTCTGTAATAACTGTGAGTTCCGCAGCCCGACCCGGGTGCTGATCTCAGCCAGGGAGGTGGGACGGGGCCCGGAGCCGTTCCCACAGCCAGCAGTTCTCTGAGAAATGAGAATTTCCATTTCCTGATCAAGACCTGTGCCAATAAAGTCGCTGCCCGGCCCCGCTGTGCCTCTCCCCCCTCTCCCCCCCAGGACCCGCGCACGCTTTGGGATGCGCGATGCGCGCACGGTGCCCTTTGTCCATTGGCTCCTAGCTCCTGGCACCAAACCAGGCAGATGCCCGCAGCTGACAACAGCCGCCAGGTGATGGAGTCACCCCAAAATTCGGAACGAGGCACCAGTAGAGCGCAATGACTCCCGCCCCATGCGTGCCGCACCCCATCCCCAGGCCGTCCCGGCGCTGCCTCCGCACCCATTGCCCTCACTCCACAGTCCCCGCAGCCCGCACAGCCTCGGTTCCCGCAGCCCTAACGCTCGCTGCCTTTCGCTTGCAGGTGAAGATCTGGTTCCAGAACAAGCGCTCCAAGTTCAAGAAGCTGCTGAAGCAGGGCAGCAACCCCCACGAGAGCGACCCTCTGCCCGGCTCCGCCGCGCTGTCCCCGCGCTCCCCGGCACTGCCGCCGGTTTGGGACGTTTCGGCGTCTGCCAAGGGCGTCAACATGCCCCCCAACAGCTACATGCCCGGCTATTCCCACTGGTACTCCTCTCCACACCAAGACACAATGCAGAGACCGCAGATGATGTGAACTGTCCGAGACAACCCACGGCCCGAGGACGCCCGGCGCGGCCCGGCCCGAGCGGAGCGGCGGTGCGGGGGGGGGGGGTTGCCTTTCGTCTGTTTCATTTTTTTGAAGTAACCTCAGCGATCGCTCTCGGGCAGAACGAGCCACGTCCCACTGCGGCGCGGGGGAGACGCTTCTCTATGTTCACTCGGACCCCGGGGCACCGCCGCCTCTTTCTGTGCGGAGTGTGCGGACTTTTGGCTGACTTCGCCCTCGAGAAGGACCCGAACCGCAGCAGGGCTGTCTCTCTGTGTTCCGTGAGCTATGGACACTGCGCGGTGAGAGACTGCTCCGAGCTCCCTCATTGTCATACCCCGAATGCGGATGGGGAGAAAAAATTAAACAGGGAGAGAAAAAGAGGGGTAACGAAATGAAGAGGGAAAACAAATTAAATAAAAAGAACTGGTTGCGAATGAAAATGTACCGCGAGCTCGGAGCACGGCCACGCAGCGCGGACTGCACGCGTACGGGGAGCATCTGCAGCCCGACGGGAACCGCACGGAGAGCAGCCGGCAGCCCCGCACCCTGCAAACCCCGGCGGACCGACAGCCGGACGGACGGTTGGACTGACAGACATACAGCCGGACTGACATACAGCCGGACCCGCGGAGCAGCCCGACACCCCGCTCCTGCTGCTGGACCTCCCTCCCGAGCGACCTTTCTGTATATATTGTTGAATTTTAGCTGTACATAATACTTTGTATGGTTTGGTCTCCTTTCATATCTAGAGTAAAAGCCACCAAGCGCCCGCCTGCCTCGCGTCTCTCTGCCCCGCAGCCCGGCCCCTGCCCCGCGCCGGGGAGGGGGAACGTCCGGGAGCCCCGCACAGCCGAATCCTGGGGCAGCTTGTCCCGTCCCGGTGCCGTCCCTCCGCCGTTCCCCGCGCAGAGCGTCGTGCCGCCCCGGCCCGGAGCCCCCCGACGGCAGCACCCACCCCGCGGCGGGCAGAGCCCCGCAATCCCCTGCCCCGCAACGCCGGGACAACCGCTGCGGGAAGCGGCGGCCGCGGGGCCGACAGAGCCCGCGGAGCGCTCCGTCTAATGACAGCTACACACAGGCGTGCAAAGGACACTCACTGTAATTAGACACAAAGCAAAGACTACTTACCCAGAGACCCCGTTTGGGGGGTGGTGTGTTTTTTTTTTGGGTTTGGTTTTTGTTTTTTTTTTGTTTTGGGTTTTATTTTTGTTTTTTTTTTTTTTTTTTTTGGATCGACATCCCCGCTCTGTCAGTCTTCGGAGTGCTTTAGAGCTGCTCGGTCCTGTCATTTCCTACCATTCGCATTGTTACAGTAAGAAAAAGGTTTTCTTTTCTTTTTTTCCCCTTCCCACTGTGAAACTTTGGGTTCAGAGCTCCCCAGGATCAGCCCCGAACAAAGCCTCCAGCTGCAGCGCCATCCAATTTGAGGCAGACATTGGGGACAATTTAAGGTTTTTATCCACAAGAAGGTTTTTTTTCCATTCTCTTAAATGCAGCCATAATTAGAGTAATTTTTCATGTAGCCCGCTGATTACAGCGTTTTTACCGTCAAAGATAATTACCTGTAATTTTCTTCCACTTTTAATACTAAAAAGCCATCTTTATTTAGATTCGGGAACAGGAAAGGCGAAACAAAAGAGGAAAATTATTCTGTTATTCATACACAAATTGCAGAGACGTAGGGCCTAAAATTGAAAATTAACCCAAATTATAATGCTGAAAAGAATGGAAGAGGCTTCGGCGGTACAGCTGCGAGCGGGGCTCCCCGCATTATTCAAATGACACCGGCGGCGGCCCCGAGTGCGGGCCGAGGGGGGAGCGCGGCCTTCGCGCCGGATGCGCTGAGCCGGGCCGGGCCGAACCGGGCCGGGCCGGCCAGTTGTGCCGAGTCGGTTTTAACCCTTCCGTCGCCGCCCCGAGCCGGCGCTGCGGGCCGCGGGGAAGCCTCCCCCCCGCACCCCCACAACCTCTCACGAGGGCAGGATCCGGGGAAAGCCAGACGGCGAAAGAGCAAAGGAGTGATAAAAAAGAGCCCGGTGAGAGTAACGCGGTAGGAGAAGCGGTGCGGGCAGGCCGCTCCGCCGGCGGGATGGGCGGCGAGTGACAGCGGGGGCAGAGCCGCGTCCCACCCGCGCGGCCGCCGACTCTCATGAAACAGCGGCATCTATGGACCGAGAGGCGGCACGCCCGCCCGCCCGCCCGCTCGCATCCCGGCCCCCGCTCGGCCGCCGCTCGCCGCAGGCGCTGCGCGGTGCCCCGCCGCCGCCCTCCCGCCGGCCCTGCCGCCCCTGTGCGCGCTGTTCCCTCCGCGCACGGCTGCGGAGAGCGGAGGCGCGGCGCCGGGGGATCGCGCGGGGAGCGGCGGCGGAGCCCCGGGGGGAGGCGGGGAAGAGGCGCGGAGCGACCCCGAGCGCGGAGCCCCACACTTACCGTGCCCGGTGGGTCCGGCAAGGCGCGGGGCCGCGCGCGTACACTGAGCCCGAACGGTGCGGGGTATTTTTCTGCGGCTCAGGGCAGAAGCGCTTTCTCTATATTCGTGGTTGAGTGAGCACATCCAGGTGTGAAATTGTTTGCACACCCCGGCACCTCTTATATTGCCAGCAAAATTAGCTGTTATTACTGTCACTGTTTAGTGATGGTTAGCTTGATAAAAAAAACGGCTGTAATCAAGACCTGGCGCATCTTTGCAAATTACAGATAATTGTAAACGTCCAGATTATGATAATAGCATCCTAATCCAGCCCGCGATGTAATTATTACGGAGTGTTACATCTGAAACTGTCCAGTAGGGCTCATTCAGCCATTATTCAGACCCTATTTTTGCACTGCAAATGGGTTGCTGAGTTGAAAATGTACGATTGTAATTTCGCGGGGCACTCAATGAGTAATGGTATAGGGAGAGAGAAACACAAAAGTGAAACGCGAACGGGAGCGATCAAATCAAACTCCGAAGGACAAAAGAGTGTTTGATTCCGAGGGAACGAGAGGAGCGGGAATTAAGAAAGGAGCGAATCAGCGCTGCGCGGCGGTGCGGGGCCCGGGGGGAGCGGTGCGGGGCGCTGACGGGCGCTGGGGGGCGATGAGCGGGGCGACGCGGCGGGTCCCGGCCCCGCACTGCGGCTCTGCCCGCCGCCCGCGGCCGGCGGCGGGTACCGCGCATCCCCCGCCGAGGTGCGGAGCGGCCTTACGCGCTGCCCCGCACCCCTGCAGCAGCAGCAGGCAGAGATCCTTAGGGAAATTAGCGCGCAACCTGCTAATTGTCATTAATTAAGCTCAAAGAGCCCGACTAACAGGACTACCTGAGGCTCGCGGGGTTCGCATGTGTGGGGGGGTTCCCTTTCGCCTCCTGATGCGCTTTTGTGAACCCCGGGGACGGTGGGCGCAGGGCCGCATGTGGCTGGAGGCTACAATGGGGACAGGGGAGCGGCGGCTCTTGCAGCTCGGGGCCTTCCTTTGCGCGGGGATGGATGGAAGCGGTGCTTAGGAAAGGAGAGATAAGGTCCACGGGCAGCGCGAGCCCTGCAAAGGCGCTGTGTGATGCGCATCGAGGAGAGAGCAGAGGTTTCCCGGAGTGGAGGGTGGCTCCGCTGCCTGACCGGAGCCGGGCAGGGGATGCAGCGCCCGGGGAGTCCGCGCACAGGCAGCCCCACCAGGCAGAGCGACGGCAGCGGGCGGGCGGCTGCGGGCCCGCACCTGGGAGGAAAAGTACGAGGCCGGGAGCTGAGAGTGGAGCGTGGCTCCCGTGGGTACGCAAATACCAGGGGAGGGCAGGGGCTCGGCCCTCGCCGCCGTGTGAGCGGACTTTGCGTGGAACAAAGGGCAGCACCGAGGATGGAACACAGGTTCTTCCTCACCCAAAGAAAAGCAGAGTGGAAGGGCGGCCCCGTGCGAGCTCTGCGGTTCCATTTCCACAGCCCCCGCCCGACCCCTCGGGCAGGTCATTGCCCCGCTGCGGGCGGCCGCTCCGAGCGCTGAGAATAAGAAGGGGGGTTTCCCCTCCACCCCGACTTTACCGAAGCAACACATCTCCGTCCTACAGCCACCCCTACAACCACCTCAGTGTATCAATCGCGTGGCAGGAATCACAGATATTTGTAATCGCTGCCACATGCGCGGTGACCCCCGGGGCGGGCACGGAACGGGGATGGAGCGGACACGGAGTGGGCATGGATGGGGAGAGAAGGCGAGAAGCGTCCGCAGAGCCGCGCTGCGGGTGGGGGGACACGGGGTTGGGAGAGGGAAGCCGTTCCGTGCCAAGGGGAGCAGAGATGGTGGGGGAGCGCAGCAGGGATCCATGGGGGAGGGTTTTCCATGGTGCCCATGGCTGTGTGTGTGTGTGTGTCTGACTGTGTGTGTGTGTGTCTGTGCGTGTTTGTGTCAGGCCCTGCGGCTCAGCCCTGGAGCCGCTCGGCACCCACAGGAATGCAGCTCCTCTCGGATCCCCGAGCTGCCCCGGCTCCTCATGGAAGTGGCCGCCAGGAAAAGAGAAGGGCGGGGAAGAGAGAGCGAGGGGAAAAAGAAAGAAAAAGAAAGAAAAGGGTGAGGAGCAGGTCGGGAAAAAAAAAAAAAAAAAAAAAAAAAACAAAAACAAAAAAAAAACCAACCCTCCCGAGCCAGCAATCCGTCGTGCCCAAAGAGAGCGTCAGACAAAGGACACTTCATCCCATCCCGTCTCCCATCCCCTTCACGGTTTCTTTTCGGCCGCCGCCAGGCCCCGGGACAGGCGCCGGCACAGGGCGCGGGGCACAGAGCACAGAGCACAGAGCACAGGGCACAGGGCACAGGGCACAGGGCACAGCAGCGTCCCCACCGGCGCTGGGCTGCTCACCTCGCGGGCAGAGGGGCAGCGGCCGGGCGCGGTGCGACTCCCAGCCAGGGCCTCTGCCCGGGGCACAGTGCCGGCGCTCCCAGCGCTGCCGCCGCCCCCGGGCTCCCGGTGGGGGAGGGAAGGAGTGAGCGCGAAGGGACCGGCAGGGAGGGACCGA